TCGTCCATAACCAGAAAATTTAGTTTGTATAGAATATAAAGTTTGAAACAATATGTAAACTGTGTTTGTAAGGAAAGTAATAGGCTTTTAATTTCCAATTATTTAGAAAAATGTAATATATCTTTAAAGTTTTCTCTAGTCAAATTCCAATATTGTAATATACAAAAAAAACTCTAATATTCCACGTGTCCGAGGACAAGAGGCTGTTCTACAATCGAAATAGTTATGAAAAATCAAGACATTGACAAATGAATTGATGTAACAAGTATATCATAAAAACACTTTTGTTTTCATTAAACATTTTGCAAATTTTATCGTAAATACAATGTCCTTGACAACAAACACAAACATTAAATTGGATGTGATGCTACTTAACCTTTTCAAATGAGTCCCCGTTGAATCCTCGGTGTTGCAAGTATCTACACCGTGTATTACTATGTTTTCTTGTTTATATATTTTCTATATTGATTACTGTTTGTTATCCTCATTTTTTTTTTTATCAATCTACTTTCTTTTTGAGTAATCTGCAAATTGAACAAATTTAAGTATGGCAAAACTCAGGAAAACAGTATCACAAAAATCCGCAAAACAAACCATTATTTATTTAGAATCATTTAACTAGATTTTATAAGATTGCATCTTTTAACTTTAGTTAAGGTCGTGTCACACCAAGCTGCGTTCACACGGAGTCATTATGGCGTTGTTAAATACTTTAAATCGCCGTGGAATCGCAGGGAAATTGCACAAATTTCTGTAGAATTTTCACAATGTGAAGATGTCACGGCGTCCTTAAGGCGACGGAAACGATTCTACTGCGATCTCATGGCTTTCTACTGCGTTCCCACGGAGGTCTCTCGGCGATTGACTGCGCTTTTGTGGAGTTTTCACAGCCTGTTAGGAGTTCTCACCTCGTGTTCACGGCGTTCACAATACGTTCGCAATGCATTTTATACCCATTGATATAGTGATATACATATTCAGAAGGAATGCAAAACATTTTTGTTTAACGATTCAAGTTACACGATGAAAAGACTTCTAGTCATGCCAAGAAATATTGTTAGTAATTTAAAATGTTCTATTTGAATAATTTAGTACCAAATTATTAATAGTTTCATGATTAAACTCCTTTTTTCAATATTATTGGTTTAGATATGTTGTTAAATTTTCATTGATTTCATTATGAATGTAAAAAAAAACACACACTGAAAAGTTGCTACAAAATTTTAGTGAAACAACAGAACAGGTTCTGGTGTAATTTTCTCTTCCATGTTTACTTTAATGCTCCTAGTGCAACAAATACATTAGAATTATTGCTGATCGAATATGATGCCATTGCTCTTGTTTTGGGAGCTGGCTGACAACGCCGTGAAAGCGCATTGTGATCGCCAACAGACGCTGTAGAAATGCCAAGGAAGCGCAACGATCGCAGTGACAACTCCGTGTTGTTGTGTAATCGCTGTTAAAGAGATACTAAAACGATTAATCTCATTACAGTCACCGTAAAGGCGTGAAAGAAACGCAGTGACATCTCCAAGGACTCCGCGACTTCTCTGCGATGCTACGGCGATCACACTACCTTTCTACTGCGATCTTATCAAACCGCAATCACATGACGCGTACTATGTGCATGCCCAAAGTGATCGCCGTCCCCTGGCGTTCTAGGAGTCCCTACGCGACCCTACCGCGTTCAGTGGTGATTTCGCCGCGCTGTCACGGCGCTGTAGGAGACTCTACTGCGATCACTTCTGCGTTTTGCATGTTTTTCTAGACGCCGTGCGATCGCCGTGAGGACGCAGACCCAGTGTGACAGGGGTTTTAGCAATTGTCTTAAACTTGGAGTATATGGGCAGTACGAAACAAAACTAAAATCATTAATTTATCCACGTGCACGCGTGAAAAAAAAACCCCTGTCGCACTCTTCCAGTTAATTTCATAAAAACGAATACATAAATTTTCTGTTTGTTGTATTTTCTTAAATTTTCCTTTTTTGTATTGCTAGAGCTGTCTCTTTGTATCATGGGCTGTGAATTTACAGTATAGCGGTCAATACGGTATGATGTATTTATTGGTCCGTTTGCTCCGTATATTTCATTATCCTGCTTCTTATAAATATCTTGAAATTTCATTGGGTGAGAACAATACTGTATTAAACGATGTTATGCTGTCTGCCCACATTACATTGCTAATCTCCCTCTGCATGTAAACTACCCACCATATATAGAACTTACATGAAATTTACCAGCCACGCATCATCAATATACTGTTTCCACGTGTCCCTGCATGGAGCTACATAACTGACGTCGAAATTCGCCAGACAGCAACATCAACACAATATATGCTTTCTCAGTAAAAGAGATATACTGGGACTATAAATATTTGGTCTTTGAGAGAACCATCGGCAGGATTAATTCGATATATAGACACTTAAAGGGGTGTCCTTGAAAAAAAATACGTATTGGGCTCAGTTTACGCCTCGCCCGATATGCAATTTTTCAAGGCCCCCATATATTTCCTTATTACCCCTCTGAGTATCTACATAACTACACATGTAATTTTGTTTATTTTAACTGTTTGTTATCTCTATTTTTTCTCTGCAACTTTTAATTTAAAAGATGGATTGGACAATTTAAAAAAGATTATATTTGGTGCTACAATTAAGAAGAAACATATTTAAAAATTTCTCATGCCATTGTACATGTAAAGGGTATGAGTAAAGATTAATTCAAATAATCCTATTTTGTTGAAATTCAATTCAGTTCTTCGCATACAGGTAGGTGCTTTTGATATAATTTATTAGAATTTTTTTCTTTGATTGAGAATAATTAGTCGTCAAACATTAACAATATTTCATGGAAACGCAGTGGGCATATATTTTGAGCGGTTTTAGTAAGTGTAAATATATGTGTAATGAAATAACTGAAAATAAGTAATTTTTCATGCAGAATGTATTTAAAAACTCCACATTGATGGATATTTTTTAAGAACATTTGACAATTTTTTTTTATTTGATAAACAATAAATGTATGATTTATGAATGAAAATGGAACACAGTTTTTGCATTTAGCTATATTTTACCTGGAATTAGGTAAATAAAAAAGATAAATAAAAATAAATTTAAAAAACACGTTTTAACATCTACATGTAATATAATGGATTCTATAGTCGGTGTTAGAACTTTGTTCAGAAATTTTACATTTTTGGGGTGGCTTACGTGTTTGGCCGCTGTTTATATACAAAATTTAACTACTCAATGTACCATCTCCCTGCAGCTGGTCAATACTAATGCAGGAGATGTGACCGGCTAAGAGGGAATACATATTCATCCTATACACTTCATCACTTCTCTAAATTTTCAAGGAGAGTGGTGTTTTGCACTGTATGTGTTTTTTTTTTATTTCAGTCATCATTCGTTTCCTCCATTTAGTAATAGAATTGATATTTTAAACAAAAAATTATATTTCTAAAATTTAATATGATCGTTGTATTTCTAGGAAAAAAGAAATTTAAAGTAAATTATAAAAATATTTTTTTATGTAACACGCATATAAAGGGAACTTTGGTGCCCCGCTTACAGTTTGATTGAATGAGTTATTATCTATGGAATATTGTGCCAAAAAGAAACGCCCTTTGAAGTCATCATTTCGTTAGTTTTATGGCCGATACAATGACCTTGTCAGCAAATACAATTCATCAGCCGATCACATCGAATCATCTGTTGATCATTAGTATTGACCAGCTGCAGGGAGATGGTACATTGAGTCAAATACTGACTGGCTTTTTTCATACTTATTTTCAAAACATTATTTATACCCTGAATTGACGACGGATTTTTCCATTATTTCCTAATCATGACAATGTGCACACAGCGGTGTAGCCGGTCGGCAGGGGATGCTCACTCCTCCATGGCGCTTATCCCACATCTGATGTTTTGGACATCCGCGTTTCCTCTGCTCCTATTTTGTATTGTTTTATTGACGTGATATTGAATACATACCCTTCATGTAAATAAAAATTGAAAATTAGATCAACATGAAGTTATTGTAAATGCGTCAAAATTCAATCAAAGAAATGCTTTGTCACGAGTAATACACATGCCTATTAAAGCCCTGTATCTTCTCAATCAAAAGGTATAAGAAAAAAAGGAATAGAAATTTTAAATCCAAGGTCTACGTCACACGGTAAAAAATTATAGTGTATTCTGAAAGGTGTTACAGTTAACACACATGTATAATATGAAAGACCTTTCTTTTATTATGTAAAAGTTTTGACAAATTCAAAGAAATTCTTTTTTTTAAATGGGTCAAATTTCAAGGTCATGGGGTAAATAATAAAGTATTTCTGAAAAGTCTTGCCATAGGTAATTTACATGTGCAATAGAAAGGACTTATCTCTTTTCATTCCAAATGTTATAACCAACATAAACGTTCTTGTAACAATTAACGGACAGACGGACAAACTTATCTTTCATCACTTTCGCAAATACTGGGAAGAAAAGGTGTATCCAAAGTCTAGAAATAACCTGATTGTTCAATATAAATATTTTTTATCAAATTTTATTTTATTGATTAATATTTAGTTGCTGTAATGTCTTTCTCAGAAATCATAATTATATTGAATGACTGTAGTTGTCTTCTATTGTGAATGATTTTTTTTTATTTTGACTTTTTCAAATCTTTTATGAGAAATTAAAAAAAATGAAATAAAAGGTAAAACTCATTTATATATGAAACATGTTTATTTTTTTTATCTTCAAACTAAAAACAAATTCCTCATAAGCAGACATGAAATGTATTATAGAAATTTACAATATGTAAGCTTTGAACTGTTATGCAACTGAATCACACTTCGTAGATTATATTCGAAAATTATGCATTAAAACACAGAGCAAACGTTCGCTGTCTATAGGGATATACTTATAAGTTGTCCAATAAGAGAAAAGAGCGGAAAGAATAAAAGAATAGACATTAAAATTTAAGATATATGTACTGAAGGTGTGAACCCTTTAAAAGGTAACATTTAATGAAATTATGAGATGATAGACTCCAAATGAACATGATTAAGGCCATCTTAAAAAAACATTTTTCGCCTCTCCCGGCTCAGGATATACATAATTATAAAATTAAGTCTGTATATAATAGTGGGTGAGATTTTTTAAATTTCAAAAACTATTGCGAATACGATATTAACTTATCAATTAATTTAGAACACTCAGAATTTCTTTTAATATTGCGTGACTTGAATTCGCGGCATGCTTTGTCAGTCGATCGGGACAGGGCAAACAAACAATATTGTTGGCAACACTATTCACGAGAAGCAATTACTTCATGATTTCCATATTGTATAGGATATTTTAGTTGGATGTAATGATGTTTCTTTACCTACTGATGGATGTAAAATAGTTTTAAATTCCACGTTTTTAAATTTATTAATATGATTTAACTGGCCCTTTTCTTTTATATATATTTGAATGAGTTTAGACTGCAAGTTAATATCAAACCGAAATATGAACCCAACATCTATATCCTCTACATGCTTTGTAGCTATGAGTGAAGTGTGGTGACTGCTGACTTTACCATTAAACCAAGTATATGTGTTAAAAACTAGCCTTCTACTAGGTACATCCCGATAAATATATGTTACCTGAATAAAAATAGTATCTTTTAGATTTCTCAACATTATTTTTTTCCATATCAAATTCATTGGCGCCAAACCGATTTCAAATAAATTTTTCTCTTTACCACTAGCGTACATGTATTTTGAAATATGCTTAAAATTCACTTGCGAATGATATTCTAGGACACAATTGCCGAATTCAGTGGTTGGATGGATAGCAAAATTTGCAAACGATCCTCTATATTCATTATCGATGTCATAATTAGCTAATGCCTGACCATCAGAAGAAGCATGAATTTCTTTGTGCATTTGGTTAGATACTACCACACCTCCATGGAAGGTCATAACCGACCGCCCCCAAGTTAGATATCCTAGACGAGCGATAAATTCATAATTTTCCAATTTCTCTATAGATATGTTAGCCAATGGGATACAAATGGGTTTATCTGTCTGGTAATAGATGGTAAGTCTTTTAAGTTCTAATTTGAAGGATAAAATTCCAAGTAAATATGTTTTTGCCGACAGAACCCTTATTTTCTGCTTAACCAATAGAGTTCCCTCATTTTTTACAGTAAAACATACCCCTATTCTTCTACAATATTTTGCCGAAACAAAAATGCCGTTTGAAAAAATTGGTTCATCTTCGAAATTATCCTTGTGCACAAGACCTATTTGAAATATGATATTGTCGACGTCATCATAATATCGCGTATTATTCCAAATTTCGGACGTTATCCCAATCTGAAAAGTATCCATATCTCTCAAATTCCCTTTCAGTATGGCACCTGGATAGTTTCCAAGACGAGAATTGCCAATTCTGATTGATTCCAAGTATGCTCTTTCAAATTGGAATTCCCCTGCAGAAAGGCATTAAATGAAATTATATTTCAATCATATAAGAATAATAGAGTGCTCTATGCTCAATCATTGATATCGTTGCCCTCATAAGAACATATAATGGAATGAAAATGCATAAGAATTACTTTATGGTGTAACATATATAAGGTGCTATAAAGTAAATATTCATAGAAGGGTATTCAAGCGATATAATAATATTTCTTTTACAAAAGATCTTTAAATAAGAAGTAACCGACACTACAACTATTTTGAAAAGCAAAGCTACAAGGTGTATGCATGCAAAGTGAAAGGTTTGCAAAACCAAAGGTACAAACAAACGCTGGAAAAGCGTTATAAATGCAAAAAATGTTTCCTTTTTCGTTCTCATAGAGTATATGGGGAACATGAATGTCTGTAGTAGAAATCTTCAATTTCAAATTAGATGATATTAAAGTAACTCTCAATCCACAGGAACTTCTTTCGTATACAGGGCTTACTCGTACTTATTTTTACCACAAGATAAATATCATTTGTTTAAAGTTACTTTTTCTTTTCAATTAAATCGTTTCAGGTGTGTCTGATCGAGCCTCTTTATTGTAAACCACTCATGTATTCCTCGAACATTACCTCGATACAATTTTTAATCACTTTAAATGGGATGCAACTTCCGGTTGGGGGTAAGATAAAGCAAGAAATTTCCAGGTATTCCATTCAAAGGTCTCTGGTTTTAACTTTAATTTGAATAGAATGGCAGTATCGATATTTTGCTATGGGAGAGCAAAAAAATGTGTAGTATCAAAAAGTAAAATAGGAGGTGCACAATGACAATTTTTAACTAGAGATATTGTGAGCACTCAGCTCACGAAATAATACCCCAGAGTGTGATTATAAATATCATTATATTTCATTTAATTGTGTAGGAGGAGTAGCAGATTAGGAATACACTCTTTTGTATATGAATACACAGCATAATTGGGAATTTTAGTTTAAATTAGCATTAGATGTGACCAAAATCGGATATGTGAGAAGAGGAAAAGACGTGCACTCTGTGGCCTTCAATTCGACATTACGATATAAATGTATTGACGACGTATGGTAAAGATAACAAAATAAATTTTGTGATGTAATTTTCTTATTAATTAGCTTATATTTTTAATGTTCTTACACTCAATGAAAGCAAATTTTGTAGTATTAATATTTTAATTAGACGAAATAAAATATATTATTCTTGAACTGCACCGTTATTCAGGTCCTAGTCATGATAAATGCACGAGCCAAGAATACAAAAACAAAATATTCATAAAAATTAAATCATTAAGAAGAAGGTTTCAATTAACAACTAACTTAATGATGAATCTTCATTTTCTGTCCATAGACGCGAGAATTTGAAAATTCAAAGATATTTCTTCTAAATTTTATATCATCATCTTGTTTCACAAATATTCAAAACAGCTCTCCAATTGTTAAATTACCAAAATAAAATAAACCCTCTTTTTTGCTCACCATGTAAAAAAAAAACATATTTTTAAAGTACCATTTAAGCATGCAATTTTTATAATTACCTGTAAATTTGTAATATCTATACAGAAAGAGGCATATGGCCAGAAGTGAAATAATTCCAATGGACCGTGAAATGAAACCTGAAAGATGATTTGAATTCAATGATACATATAGGTCAAACACATTAAACATGGATCCTTTCTGAAACATTAACTTTTTTGCTAGCCTATCTTGCTGTAAGTATTACACGTAATTAGGACATTTCCTTGAGAGAACTCTCAAATTACATGTTTATACTTACCTAATGATTTGAAAAATCGGTAAAGATAGGATATAATGACCATCAAAGACAAAATTCCGAAACATCCCCACAAATATTTATCTGAAATATAAAGGGATTTTAACATGATTATAAATTCTTTAAAGGTTTTTGGTAACTTAAAATTTTATTTTGCCCAAAACTGTAAACGATCACATTGAAAATGGTACCTGATGAAAAAAAAATTATTATATGTTTAAAAAAGTTCATGGTTTAACATGTGTAAGCCCGAGAGAAATTTAATATAATTTTGCTTTTATTAACTAAAAACCATGGTAAAGATTAAGTGTCCCTACGGTTTTAAGTTTTAGAAAATTTATGACAAGGCTTTTAGTGAAAAGACGAATAACTACCGTACATGTAAAAAAATAACATAATGATATATAATATAAGGCACAGATATATATACCTTCAGGTTTATAATGTGGATATAGGTAGATATAAAGCGCCAACAGAAGAGAACCTCCAAGGAATCTGGATAAAATGAAACCTAAAACACAAACGTCTATTTGTCAAATATATTTAAAAGAAAGAATATTTATTATTTACTTCCTGACTCAAACAGTATTAGTTTTTGTATAGTACTGTAGATCACTTAATTTTCGCGACACCTTCTTTTCGCGAGATTGGCATTAGTCTTTATTGGCAAGACGCAATTTGTACGATTTGCGGTAATGTTCTGTGTGATCTTTTGGAATACTGATTAATGCGCGAGAGATATTTTCGCGAGCACACTGTCTCGTGTAACTAAGCGAAAATGAAGTTTTTGAGGGTGAAAAGTGATAATACAAATACAATTAAATTAAAGAGTAAAGGAAATAAAATAGCTTATTTATAATAAGTATCCTACTTTGCCTAAAGTGCTTTTATTTTAAAGCAAATCAAACCAAAACGTACCAAATACTTAAGAAGCAAATTTGAACCATTTTCATTTGAAAATAAGTTTTAAAAAATGTAAATTTAATAAATTCCTTATTTACAAGCCTTTATCAGGCGATAGTGTAAAATTTGTATTTAATATTATGTTGAACAATTTGATACTTTTACAATATTTATCACTTATTGATACATTTTTAAAAGCAATTTATAGTGTCAATTTTGCCTTATTAGAAACAGTCAGTAATTTAATGTATATAATTTTAGTACTTTGAAATAACATATTTTCCTGGGGGTTAATTCATGTCCACCACGAAATGTAAAATTTTACATCCATAACTATACGACAATTCTTTATCCACAAATTCAAATCCCAACAAACCAAAAGTTTTTACTCAAATCGATATCACTAAAATTTGACCCGACTATAATTTGTGATTTTACAGTAAATCAATTCATGATATTTCAATTATGCTTAGTTTACATTTCACATGTCTTACATACATGTTCATCAATATGTACCTGTAGCTTGCAATATACCTGAGTTAAATTGCATCACGTTGTCGACGTCATGAGTTGTTCTTTGTAGAACGTTATGTTCCGTGTGAGATCCAGACTTAAGGCACTTTCTACAAACTGCAACATCGCATTCTTTACAAAAAACATCGCATTTTTTCTTCTGATGGACCATGCAAGGGAGCTGCTCGATTTCAAAGTATTTAAATCTAAACGTGGCAATGTTATGTACGATAGAAGTATTGACCATATGAAGATCTACACAGTTCTGACAGAAATTGACATTGCAAGCAGTACAAGTTCTTTCTGCGTAAGATTTCCTGTCTTTTCCGGGACAAATCTGACAATATTTCAAATCTTGTGCTCTGTTCAGGGGATTTATTCTACTTTGAACATTGTGATCTTTATGAATTCCAAACGTCTGACATTGTGAACAAATTGCAAAATCACAATTGAAACAAAACATGTCACAATGTAAATCCTGATGGACAATGCAATGGGGTGCACACATCTCAAAATGATAGAAACATGATGTGACAATATCATGGCTCAAGGGCGAATCGCTGATATGAGGGTCAACGCACTCAGGACAAAGATAAACATGACAAATAATACACACTTTTTCTGCTTCAGATTTCTTGTCTTTTCCAGGGCAAAGTTGACAGCGCTTCACATCTTGTGCCCTGGCAAGAGGATCTGATGATTCAGCCATTTTACCTATATTCTACAGAGATGATTATAGGTATAAATCTGTTCTGAAAAAATAGCATTTCTTCAATAATTTTTTACTGCTGAACCAGAATGAAAATTATAATGGTTAAAAGGATCGTTTAGTTATCATTTTACATACGAGGGGTGACCAAAAAGTTCGCGAACTATCTCTATATCTACAAAAACCACGATTCAGATCAGAAAAAAATTGGTATACACAAAGCCATACACAATTTCTATAAATAAATGTGCGGAATAAAAAGAAATTGCTCCTTGTTTGTGACTCCACAATGTGAAAATGACGTCACTATGCAGGTCACTTGTAACGAAAAATGGTTGTCTCGGTCGAACTCGTTCAACAAACGACTGAAAATCTTATGGTATATCTTAGAAATCCCTTTGAAATAATTTGTACACAGTTTACTGAGACAAATGACTTCCTATAGATTCAATCAATGATTGGATTGATTTTTTTGTGAAGGAAGGCAGATGGTTAAAAATGATACTTGTTACATTGCCCAGTGAAAGCAAGTTTGAAAAGAGATGTATTTTTAATTAAGCTATTTGCTATCAAAGACCTCCAATTTACACATTGAAAAATAGTTGAATATTTCAACAATAATATATTTATCAAATACCTAAGATATCGTTTACTTTAGGTTTTGAACATATTAGATGTGACAAAAAGGAGGCACCCATTCTCTATACACCTTGAATAAACGTCTCTCCCAAGGCAGAAGATTTGGGCTTTGATGGTCGCCATGCTTATTTTTGGAAAGCATAGTCTTATTCACCCATTCTATTGCCGAGATTTAACCATTTCTGACAAATTAACTGTTCTTGTTACAAAAATTAATTTACATTGAAAGAAATATAAAACTCAGAAAAATCTTTCACCTTTTGTGACGGAAGGGGTTACGTGACGGCCTATATCATTGTGCATAAGCAGAACTGTGCTAAAACCAAATATTGTTTCTTTTATGGAAGTTATTTAATTAGTTCGCGAAATTTTTTATTACCCCTCGTATAAACGATTTCTAGATTTTCCTTACCTTAATTCATTTTGTCCATTTTTTTAATCATGGCGCATGATTTGCATTTTAAAATAAGAATGAAGATCAAGTTGTTCTCTGCACCCTGGATAACAAATGATAACAAAACTCATAGTACTAGATGTACTGAAATTCGGAGGAAAGATATAGAAAAAATAGTGGTGTATCTATGTATACTGGTCTATCTGTGTATTATTTATCTTCGATATCGTGAATAAATATGACGTAGGTCAAGAACTTCAAAATATAGTTTTAAAATAATGTATCGAAAATATGCGTTTAACACCACTGTGACCCTGTGCTTGTACCTGACAGATTAGATGATAGAGTCTAAAATAAGGAGATAAAATACATTCAGTATTACACGAACGTGCATTCTTTAATCAACAAAATGATGTGTAAGTGAATCTGAGTCCTGATGTACTAGGCAAAGTCTTATCTTCTATGTTAAAAAAAATGACCTAAAAATAAGAGACGACTACATACATGTTTTGTAACATTTAATAATTCTGCATACACTTTCTTAAATTTTCGAAATGAAATATCTAGCTTATCAATTTTGTTTGAATTTAAATGAAATGGATCATGTATTTTGCAAATTGACAGAACGGTGGAAGATGTGCATTAAAATTGGAGGGCACTAGTTTAAATTACATGTTTACGGGGTCCAAAGCCTCTGCTATATAAATTTCAATAAGAAAATTTTAAAATTCTAATATTGATTTTCAGGAACAATAACATTAAGAGGCACGTGGAAAATACGTTGAAGTATGAATATAATTTCAAGTACTTATTCTTTCAGAAATGACCTTATTACAGATCATGGTATGAAGAAATTTTAGCAAAGAGAACAGTAAAAGTAATAATTTAATTTCACAGCGCAAAAAAAAAATAAAGTATGAAGTGTGTATAAAAATATTGCTAAAACCATACCTATAAAAATCATCAGATATCATCAAAAAGTGCTGCTTCCTAAGTAAGAATGTCACAATGATGTATGTGGTTGTAAGAAAAAAAATGTCTTTGACGAGAAATTATTTCTCTTCTTAATAGTTCTTCATTTGAAAAAAAAAATAATACAAATCAAACTTCTGTGTATGCTGATACATACTGATGTTAGACATTCAACTGCATCACCATTCAAGATATTCTGATCAAATTTCATGCATCCACTAATTAATACTATTTTTTTTATTTGCAATATTATTATACCTTCAGCGGAACATTCATGTTTGATACTAAATAAATAATAAAACAATTTGAAAAGAAATTGCTAAAGAAATAGAAGGTAATGTTTCCATCCTATGTTAGGTTTCAACGAATTGGATACTTAGAGGCCTCACTTAGGAAACTCTAAAAAAGAAAAATGTGAGTAGTATTCATAATTTTTACTCTGAAAGTTATCATCCCTTATGCAGAGTTAGAAAAATCGTTTCAGTCATTTTGTCACACCGAGGATCAGAACATAATGCTATGTGTTAAATAAAATATCCATATTATTTCCGTTTCTGTAGACACGTTATTCAAGATCACGACATTTTAGCATCATCTAGTGCATCGTCTAGTGCGCCGCCTGTTTAAACGCATTTGCCATTATTTTCAAAAGTTAATTTCATGAAAAACGTTTGAACATTTATATTGAATTAATGAAAACATCAACATGCATATGTTCACGAAATGTTAATGGAAAGGTAGTATTCAACAACCTTTTAAAGATAATTCATTTCCATAGTTTCGAAATTTTGAGTAGCAGTTTCTTTTATTTAAATATCACCTATCGATTTTAAATTGCAAATTTTGAAGTGCTGCACTGCCTTAGAATTCTTTCACCAGCCAATGAGGTATTTTACTTATATTTCCGATTTCAAAGGAAAATATCGTTTACCCCCCTTTTTTAAGAGATCGAGTAATGGATAATATATTTAGCGCTGGTACTAAGACAATGCATCAATATCCATTGAACTATTCTTTGTATTAATCAAAGATTGTATGGACAAATTGCCATTTATATTGAATTAAAAGGTTGCAAAATGTAGGAGGGATTTGAGATAGAGCTAGTTTGCGTATTTCTTACTGGGCCAGTGTCTGGTAAATTCAAAGGATATGATTGTTCAACATTAAATGTCAAGAAAGTGGATAATGATGTTTTTTTAACGGACAATGAGAGCTACAGCCTAGCTGACGGACTGGTCAACCAATGAAGACACGGCAACCAAAGTATGGCAAGTTCTTAATCAGCCTCTTGAATACAGGTTCTCCATATTGTTAAGCGAACTCCCAATGACGTTCCGCATTATCTCTTTAAATGTATTAACAGGTGAACAATAGCTAAGTCATTTTTTGGATACTGTATTGTCCACGGATTTTCCCGTTAATTCCTGATCATGACAAGGAGCATACTGCGGGTATTTTAATTTTTTTTCGCTTGTCGTGTTTTTATGTACGTTTGTACTGTAAAGATGATTGTTGGTTTTGTATTCATATATGTTTGTTACGTACGTGGTCGTTGGTTTTGCTTTAATGTATATTTGTTTTGCGAGAACGTCTGTTGATTATGCATTGTATGTAATTTGTTAAGTTTTTATGGTCATTGAAATTAAAATAATTGTTTGTTTTCTCATTATGGTAATTTTTGCCCTTTCCGCTGCCCATCCCTAACAAAAAAATACTATAGTTAACTATAGTTAACTATAGTTTACTATAGTTAACTATAGTAAATCAAAGTGTCAAAGTTTTCGTCAAAGTTTTTCAAAGTGTCAAAGTTTTCGCCAAAGTTTTTCAAAGTGTCAAAGTTTTCGTCAAAGTTTTTCAAAGTGTCAAAGTTTTTGCCAAAGTTTTTCAAAGTGTCAAAGTTTTTGCCAAAGTTTTTCAAAGTGTCAAAGTTTTCGCCAAAGTTTTTCAAAGTGTCAAAGTTTTCGCCAAAGTTTTTCAAAGTGTCAAAGTTTTCGTCAAAGTTTTTCAAAGTGTCAAAGTTTTTCAAAGTGTCAAAGTTTTCGCAAAAGTTTTTCAAAGTGACAAAGTTTTCGCAAAAGTTTTTCAAAGTGTCAAAGTTTTCGCCAAAGTTTTTCAAAGTGTCAAAGTTTTTGCTAAAGTCTTTCAAAGTGTCAAAGTTTTTGTCAAAGTTTTTCAAAGTGTCAAAGTTTTCGCCAAAGTTTTTCAAAGTGTTAAAGTTTTCGCCAAAGTTCTTCAAAGTATCAGAATTTTCAATAAAGTTTTTCAAAGTATCAAACTTTTGATAAAGTTTTTCAAAGCATCCCAAGTTTTTGATGAAGTTTTTTAAATTTTCAAAGTTTTCGATAAAGTTTTTTAAAGTGTCAAAGTTGGCGATTAAGTTTTTCTATGTGTTAAAGTATCCAAGTTTTCGATAAAGTTTTTTAAATTTTAAAAGTTTTCGATAAAGTTTTTCAAAGTTTTCGATAAAGTTTTTTAAGTGTCAAAGTTTTCGATAAAGTTTTTCGAAGTGTTAAAGTATCCAAGTTTTCGACAAAGTTTTTCAAAATGTTAAATTTTTTGATAAAGTTTTTCAAAGTATCCAAGTTTTCGATTAAGTTTTACAAAGTATCAGAGACTTCGATAATGTTTCTCAAAAGTGTCAAAGTTTTCGATAAAGTTTCTCGAAGAAAAAAAGTTTTTGATAAAGTTTTTTAAAGTGTCAAAGTTTCCAATAAACTTTTTCAAAGTTTTAAAGCATCCAAGTTTTCGATAAAGTTTTTCGAAGTATCCAAGTTTTCGATTAAGTTTTTCGAAGTATCCAAGTTTTAGATAAAGTTTTACAAAGTATCAAAGTTTTTGATAAAGTTTTTTAAAGTATCAAAGTTTTCGATAAAGTTTTTCAAAGTGTCAAAGTTTTCGCCAAAATTTTTCAAAGTATCAAAGTTTTCATCAAAGTTTTTCAAAGTGTCAAAGTTTTTGCCAAAGTTTTTCAAAGTGTCAAAGTTTTCGCCAAAGTTTTTCAAAGTATCAAAGTTTTCG